TTTTTTACCATTCACATATGTAACTACACTTTGGTAATGTTGAAGTACAATGTTCTCCATTTCAATACAAAAATTACCCATTTAGCCTAACCATTCACCTAAAACATCCAATATTTCATTGTGCATCTGTTCCTGAACATCTGGATAAGCTGCTGTATACATAAGTGTCCATTTCAGGGTTTCTGAGGAGGTTTCTGTTCCAGCTAAATAATAATAATAAAATAATAATAATAATAATAATAATAATTTATTTGTATATGGCATTTCTATTAAAACCTTAATGGGTTTTCAATTTAAAGCTAAATATAATTATTTATTAACAGCCGAATTGACAAATTAAGAAGTCAAAATTACAAATTAAAGAGTCAATGATAAAAATTACAGGTTGCTTATTCAAATTCTAAAATTGACATTAAAATACATATATAATATCTAAATTTTCCCCTAGTGAAAGAGTAACATGTAATTAGAAAGTTTGTTGATCCATTAAAACTATTTTCTCTCATTATGAAAATTTCAAATCCATACCAAAAAACACATCTGATACAGTCTGCACAACATGTGTGTCTGTCAGCAAGTTCTTAGTATCTTCACCTTCCTCCTCTTCAGACTCTTTTTGTGCTAAAAGCAGCTGGTCCATTAGGTCACGTGGAGTAGCATCTGTACATCAAAAGGAACAGGAATCATTTATCAAAGTTGAACAAAATCAGTGCGTCATATTCCCCAAAAGAAATGTTAGTGTTGCATACATTCAGAAATTCTGAAAGGGAGATGACTTCACATCAGAGAGTACCACTGGGAGATGACTTCACATCAGAGAGTACCACTAGTATACATTTTCATGGGCTACTTAAAAAGTACATAACTTGAAAAAGTACAACAATGAATGAGTGAAATATAAATATATAAGGATATGTCATACAAAGTATACTTGTATTACGTGTACACAATGTACATGTACCTCCTCACTTTCCAGACACAACTCGAAAGTAAATTGTTTGCACATACTGTGCTATAATAAAAAAACAAATATTTCTAAAAGTCAATACTGGAGTACTTTTTTAAGAAATGTACTGGACTTTTGAAATGGTGCCTAAGGACATTAAAACACTTGCAAAAAATATGAATTACCTGGATTAAAAGTTGCCTTGTGCTCTTTCAATTTCTTATAGATTATTCCATGCAATTCCTTGACACACTTTTTAAATGAAGCTACTCTTTTTATTGGTGCATGCTCCAGCAGAGTTAGCAAATCTGGTGGTAGAAAACTTTGGAAGAAATCTTCCACCAGCAAGGTTAGTAATTTTCTCAACTGAAGAAACTCGGGGTCATCAATTTTGTAGCTAAAAAATCACAACAATTAATCAAATTGGTATTTAATTCTGTGATTGTCGTGCCTATTAAATGAAAGCACATATTTTTAATATATTTACTGAGAAGGACTGATTTTATAAATAGTATTTTTTTAACCTACTGATAGTAATGTTGATGAATTTTACTCTTCAGACTGAAAAGATTAGTAATCAGGAAATTATTTTACTGTCTTGCTTTATAAATGGAAATTGCACCAGCAATTCCGGATAGGGTATACCCTTTATTAAGGGAAAATTATTTTTGCTATAACATAAAGGTGTAAGGCACAATTAATGACTTTGAGGTGCATTAACTATTATTGTTCCTACCTCTTTCCAAACGCCATTCTACAGATAATGTTGTACAACATTAAATGGATGTACTCCCCAAAGTAAAAAGGTTCTTTCTCTTTCTCCAATAAAGCTGCCACATCACTGTAGGAGGACTTCAATAGTTGCTCCAACTTAGTCCCCATGGCATATGTCCTGCAAAACCAATGAAATATATGTATTATAATGACGATATACCAATATTCTCATTCATCAAAGTTTTGCAGGATATGGACTAAATGGTGGAAAAAAATTATAAGTAACAAATGTAGTATTTTTTCAAAAAGTTTGAAAAAAAAAAGCAAAGTTTTGAACCTAAACAAAAATAGTCAAATTTCTTGAGAACTTGTCAGGAACTTAACAGAAAAACATGTTTATCTCTTCAGAACTGATTAATGGCACAAGAAAACAATGAAAACATTATTTCATCAAATAGCTTTATTCTTGGTCTTCTGAGCCATAAGCTATACAGAGGTACATGTACCTGATAGCTTTAAGTGCCAATTTTCTTTGAAGCTTCCAGCTTGGACCAAAGTCACCAAACGCTATATCTTTAAACCCTTCAGTAAAAAAGTCAGCTGTAAGAAAAAGATAATAAATTATCAATAAATATCAGCTTCCAGCTTAGAAAAAAGTCACCAAATGCTATATCTTTAAACTCTTCAGTAAAACTGGTCAACTGTTAAAAGAGGATAATAAATTATCAATAAGATATCCCATTTCTTGCAATGCTTTAAGTGGAGGATATGATCATTCTTCTTTGCAACAAATGAACTGAAGTAATTTAGGTATAATTAATATGAAATTGGATGAACAAAGTTTACAAAAGCCACCTTTAGTCATTTGTAGAAATTTTTATGTTGTGGACAATAAGGTTGTTTTGATAAGATTTTTATATGTACAGTATGTAAGCATCAACCACATAGGTAGAATTAATGCGCATCATCGCATGCCAAAATGTTTTGGTTCAATGTTATTAACCAGTATAGTATTACCAGACTGGAGACACTAATTTAAAGTTTTCATTCAACTATCTGCTTCAAAACCCCCTTGAATATTAATCGCTATATGATGGAGATCAGACCCATGACATACCTCCCATCCCTGAGGTGACTTCTAGCTGCAATATTAGCCATAAGCAGTTACATGTACCTTCAGCAAAGTAAAATTATACCAAATATTGCATTTCTCAAGGTCTTACATGACCAAATAGTTGTGTCTCTTCCTGCCATTATTTCTTTCTTCTCTACGAAGGCTTCATGAACCACATCTGCAGAGTTCAAAATGACAAGCTTATCCAGTACCAACCCTGAAAAGAAAGGATAACATTTTAAAGTTACATATAAAACGAGTGAAGATTCCCAGTAATTAGGGCATTTAAACCACATCAACTAGTTTCTTATACGACCAAAATGAAGTTGACATGCAACGTCACATTTACCATATTAATCCCTTGTATATAATAGCTTTGAAATGGCACTTTCTTCAAAATTTTGGATCTCTGGCTATTTATCCTTCCCTACAGTTTGTAAAAATCCCATAAATGATGTAGCACTGCATGCACATTGCACAATCATCACTCTCACTCATCTCCCACATACCAGAACATAATGACACATTGATGTTAAGTCGTGCCCACAATTGCATATTTGGTATTTCTTTTAAGTATACTATTTGAAAATAAATGGTAGCATTGATTGAGGCAAAATTTGACTTAAAATGCATCTTTAATCAGTTGATAAGACGAAATTTGTTGCCATGTACACCCTAAAAGTTCCTTTCCATCTCCAGTTAAGAATTTGTCTGTCATTATGTCAATTGCACAGGATTATGCTTTTTTACATAAAGACATTAATTATATTAGTTTTGACTATCCTAACAACTAAATAAATATGAATAGTCTGTAACTTGACTTGCCTAAGCTAACTGTTGTCATTTCACCATATGTTTTTGCCAGTTCTTCACACACCTTGAACAGTCTAACATCCTTCTTGAGAGCTGCAAAAAAATAATCAAGAATTTTGATATACATGATGCAAAATGATGCCAAATTCTTTTCTAATGTATCAATTAAGAGAGCAACTCAAAAGTTATTTAAAAAACTAAAGGATATATACCGATAGGGCTAATATGAGTTTGAGCCCATGAGTTTGAACACTTAAAACTCTGATTTTATGGTACATGGCAAAAAGTACCACATATCACATCTTTTCTACTAGCTGCTTCATACTTACAAACTTAATGGCACAATCTACTGAAGATTTTAAAAAGTACACATAGTAAGTTAGTTAAGTTTCAATATACCAAAAATGCTCCCAAGAAAAGGCACTTGCATGGGTCCAGGTGGTAGATTTCCCTTCCTCCGCCTTAGATACACCATGGCTAGAAGAAATGCCAGGCTGGCAACGACTACCGTCTTCACATCTAGACCAGTCACGCAATCTACTATTTCCATTTTTTGCTAATATACCTGGAAAATATAACAGTGTGTCATTTACATATATGTAATACCAAAATCAATGGGCCATATTAATATTTTTTCTGGTAAGTGTTCCTTTTTCACTGTAAATACATGTAGGCTTTATGATACACAACAGCCTTAAAATTAATGCAATTAATTGCCCTATTCAAAAACTGTAATTCTAGCAAGTTGTATTCTGCAAATTTAGAATGTAAAGAACACATTAAATGACTTAATTATTTGACACACACATACCATAGATCCCTCGTACAGGGTAACAAGCTCAGTTGGTGCAAATGAACCAAGGCTCGGCTGTCAACTTGATCAGTCAATTTTTCTAAAAACCACAAAAACTACTTTAGTTTATCCAAGGACGTTTTATAAGTCGTTGGATTATCACACTAGTCAACTACAATGCTAAACTGCCCTTCAAGGCACCAGGATCTACATGTACATCAAGTTCAGGTCAAGGTGACACGCCTGCGCGATTGAACAGACCGCCTGCCGCCCTTCAGGTGCATGGTTTCTATCGTTCAGAGCCAATTTCCTACACAGGTATAATAGGGCCTACTGACAAAAGCCATGAATAACGTACATCTACAAAGACAAATAAAAATAACATGACTCTAGACAAATTAACGTACCTCTGACCTCTTCTAAAATTTCCACAGACGTAGGGACTATTATAACGAAAAGAAAGAGCTGGTAAAATCTTTGACACCTCTTGTAAACAGTAAAGCTGTAGGCTAAATCTTACTAGTAGTAGATGTACTGGTGACGCAAATATTTATCAGTTCCCGCAGTCGTGCTGCATTGGTCCTTAAACTAAAACTTTGCTGAATTTTCAAGGGATGATATCACGACCACTGCATATGAAGTCACCAACTGAATTTAAAAAGAGTGATGCAAAAATGTTCATGTTTACCCCAGACGACTCACAGGTACGACGGGCGCCGTCCACGTATTAACAAATGACGATGCCGTAGTGTTGACTTTTGTACGGCTTTTATCCGGTTCAAGTGCACCTGCACTTATAGGGCCTCACTATAAAAAATGTTAAGGAGTTCAATGCACTGTCTTAAAGTGCGGCGACATTCGGATAGGAATCGCTACATCACGTTGTTTTATATCATTGTAAATCTTTTGTTATACGGAAGCCAAGGCTTGTTTCTAAAATCGAACTTCTTAAATGGTTTCTACAATCTACCCAGCTAACACATAGGCTATCGTTATTAAGTGGTTAGGCTACATTCTGCTTATAAATGGCAGGCCCTACAAAATGACATTATGATAACGCTATCATATGGTACGGTAGGCTACGTGCGTAGGCTACGTTTCATTGTACCTGGTATGTGTATTTTTAAAAACTCCATGGAAAATAAAAACCACAGTCATTTACCACGTAACCCCATTGTCACATCCCAGCTAACACAGAAAGTTTTGATGACTAACTTGCATTACATATAGGCCTATATTAGTTGCACATCGCAGTGTGAGCTGCCTTCCCAAACGCTCACTTGGCAGTTGGACACAGTCGGATATACAGACTACTGGGTACACAGTAGTTCCATTTATACTTTGCAGTCGCGAGGTCTAGCTTTTATAATACTATACCTACAATGTAGAAGCAAATACATGTCTGTGAGTATCACTATTTCTCCAATAATTACCGCTATAAAATACTGGAGGCGCAGACGAATGAAAGAGTAGGCCTATTTACGACAAATATTTTAATACGAGCACTTATACCGCCATTCCCATTGTTACTTGTAGGGGCCTACATGTATGTCATTCAGAATGGTTGAATTTATTGGTTAGTAACTTACAGTGCTTTGGGGCCCCAAATGCATGATTGATTCTGTCTCTTTACGGTGTCGTTCCTCTTTTATTGATTTTTACTTGAAATGTGTTATTATTTTAATTTTTATTATAATTTCTATTATTAAAGGTTTTATAGTAATTTATACAGTCGAAACTTCTGTGTATGTAGCGCTACTATGAGAAATAAATTATCACTTTTGTTGATTTTGTACAGGCGGAAAGTAAAATAGACGACCTTCATGCTGTAATGAGCATATCTGGATTCCTTTTATTTCATGTCATTTCGCTGCTGGGCCTATTCACTCGTGTTAACTGACCTTGCAAGCGAGTTTATTAGAATGTATATCTCAAAATGAAGACAGAACAATTCATAAGTGTATCAAAAACATCAAACAATTTTTATGATTACTTTAAATACATTTTTCTGGCAACCTGTAGGCCTATAACGAACCTGGAACAAACCTACTGGAGACCCAATTCAAGTGCACCATATCTGTACAATGTAAAAAAAAATGTTTTTTTTTTTTTTTTTGTGAAAATAGCATCTTTATTTCAGTGACATTTTTTACATCATGATCATGAATTCGCAGCACGCTGTGACACAAAAATATAGCACTCGCCAAAGAGTTCAAAAATCGAACTAAGTGTGTATAGCAAATCAACTGTACAATAAATATGAAAATGTGACTCAATGTGAGCAAAATCACAGATAAAGCAAAAATCACAGCAAATTTCTATCGATGCAGATATTATCCAAATATCCGTATTTGATGCAAAACGCAAAATATCAATCGTGAAAATATGTTAAATAAAAGGTAAAAAAAAAAAAAGATAAACACCATATTACAGCATATATGTACATGTACATTTAGCAGGAATGGACGGAATAGTCAATAAATAATAAATAACTCCTCAAAATTGATTTAAAAACGATTGACAAATAGGAGATCTATAAAGGTAATGATAAATTTATCACAATTTAGTATATCAGTCTAAGGAGGGCATTACATGTACATTTATCATGTCGAAAGACATTCCTTTAAACTACATGTAATTTGCTTTTTAATACTTCACAAAACTTGAAACGCATGGTTTTGCATTTAACTTATTAAGCAATTTGTAAGTAAATTCAATACTATAAAAAAACGCCGAAGCAGACGTTCATACTGCTTAACGTGTTTAAAATGTATTATCTGCCAACCCTTTAATTAATATGCTTTCACTGCAGAAAACATCGAAGGCGAATTTCTGGAATATGAATATTCTCTTGAGAGTTTTTCCTGCGTTTTCTCCCATTTCTTGTCTCTTCCCCTCTTGTAAATCAGATATATAACTAGTCCCAGTAGAACTAAGGTGACCACAATCAGCCATATAATAATGCCCATGATGAGGTAACCATTCACTAGTGTAGCATCATAGCCACAGTTGCCGGTCTGAGCAGACGATTGAGCGGCCGTCTGGTCCTTCACAACCTGAGACATGGTTTCCGAGAGTGTCGTTAATTCTGGAACAAGAGTACAAAATCAGTGTACTACTACAGAGAAAAGATTTTCCTTTTGTTTCTGTTATACAACACCTGAGGACCCTTTGGGGCGATTTAATATTCTTTTCCAGTGTAGGGCTGTTGTCGCAGTTTGCGACAACAGCCCTACACTGGAAAAGAATAACAGATTGCTATTCTATATTTACCTGACATGGAATCAAGACTGTCCATCAAATCATTTTTATGGGGAGAGGCTGCTTGGTATGTTGAAACTCATGAATAAGTATGATTTTGTAGACAGTGGAGAATGAGATATTTCGAATGATTACTTACCTGTGACCTTCAGCTGCAGCGATTGTGCCAAGGAGTCAACAGACGACGAAATGGTCATCACGCAACTTCGGCTCCCCAAAGTGTTGACGCATTTTTGTGTTGAATTACACCCGCCATTATTGACAGCACACTCATCAACATCTGAGATAGAACACATAAAATATAACAAGTTCTTGAAATCACTTACGGACACAGCTTTTCAATATAGCACCCGCACTATGTAATACATTCAACGATACAGATCCAGCCATGGCTGACATAAATGTTTTAAACTTTATATTCATTTATTTTGATTTCTATTTTTTCTTATTATTATTGATCTGTTATTATTATTATTTGCTTTCAAAACTCTTTCTTAATAATACATTATTTAGTAATAGTACCTTCACAGCTGTGTCTGTCGGGGCTCAGTCTGAACCCAGCCCGGCACGCGCAGACGTAGGTGCCTACTGCGTCGTAACACAACTGGTCACAGCCGCCATTGTCATTGCCACACTCGTCCACGTCTAAAATGATTGAAAAAACATCAATAACGACAACATCAGGTGGTAGAAAAAAGGTGGCGCTGGTAATATTCAAATCCATGTAAATTTATGTAAATGGAAAATGCACTTTCTTTTTTTGATAGCAGCCTTAAAAAGTTCAAGCAGACGCTATTTTGGCATGACCCTTTTTTTAAAATCTATAATAAAATAGCACACTTGAAACTTAAATATGCTCGAGTCCGAACAAGTATTTCATTAATGTTATATACACCGGTTCAATATTGACGAAACAACTAAATGTGATTGACAACAGGCTTTCTCTCACCGGCACAAGAATGCTTGTCTTCGTTCAGCTGATACCCGGCGTCACATACACAGCGATAGGACAGGTAGGAGTTCATACAGGTGTGACTGCAACCTCCCTTATTAGTCTGGCATTCGTCCACCTCTGAAAAATTAAATAAACATTGTAAGATAGGATTTCCACTGTGGTGCACATTACACATTTTTATTATCTTAATAATGACCATTTTCAAATGATTATTGAAAAAAATTGATAATTATGTTTGAAACTTATTAAAACTATGGTTATAAAAAAGGGCCGAAAAACTTTTTTTATTAATATTTACACCTTCAAATACGCACTAACCCTTATTTCCTGGGGGACCCATAGGTCCCATGGGCCCCGCTACTCCCATATCGCCCTTTAATCCTTGGAGTCCTTGAACACCTTGGTCGCCTTTGGCGCCCGTTGGACCTATAATGCCCTGAATACCAGTTGCACCTCTGTCGCCTTTCGACCCCTTCACTCCCTGCTCGCCCTTGTCCCCCTTGGCCCCTGTAGATCCTGTAGGTCCAGTTATGCCTTGTGGACCCGTTGGTCCGGTAAGACCAACTGGACCGTCTGGGCCTCTCACACCTTTGTCACCTTTGGGACCTGTGTCCCCTGGAACCCCAGATACTCCTTGAGGGCCTTGGATACCTGCCGGGCCCTGAGCACCAGTAGGACCCTGTTGAAATAATGCGGGGAATAAGACTTGAAAATGCTACTTTCTATACCTTGATGGTTCAGGGAAAAGCGTTAACATGTCCAGGGAAATTAAATCTCTGGTATATAATGGCCTAATGATTATTGCGTGCCTAAAAGTAATGCATTTCAGCTGTGGCGCCCCATGGGCACACAATAAAATATAACGTACTGTTGGCCCTTCCGGTCCCTGCTGCCCGCGTTGTCCTTTTGGTCCTGGGGGTCCTGCAGGGCCCTGGGCACCTTCTTCACCTTTAGGTCCAGGTGGTCCTTGTGGTCCAGGAGGTCCAACGATCGCTACAAATGACAAATGTACTCCATAAAAACTATGTGAACAACGCCCAGCCCAACGTACACTTAATGCATTGAACGTTCTGTATTATTTCCTTTTAATGCGATATGACTCTCCATCACAAAAGTATTCAGGAGCACTAATACCACGAAAATAGATCACGATAGTCATTAAGCAAAATTAGTCAAAATCTTAATAACCACTTACTGGTTGTGCACGGGACATCGTTACAAACTTGGACGTGAGTATCGCTGCCAACACAATTTCCCCCGCCATTACTAGGGGCGGGGTCATTACACGCACGTCTTCTGGAGTAACTCCCTCCATCGCAGGACGCAGAACAAGGGGCCCATTCTCCCCATGCTCCCCAATTTCCGTTAACTAGATAAATGGACGATTGAAGATATTATTATCAAAATGGAATCGTTACGAAAGAGAGTACATGTGTGTTCTAAGAAGCATGATTTTCGAAACAATTTCCCTTTTCATCATCATTACACAAAACCACAATGAAAGAAAAAAATATTTTTACTAAATGAAATCTCTGATCTTAGTTTAAGAGAATACCAAATATAAAATCACTCATTAGCATGAATAACGGTAATAAGGTAAAGAGAAAGAAGTGTGGAATATATACTTGGTAATACCAATATTGTCACAATCAGTAATTTAGAAAGCAAATAAGCTAAATAAATCGCAATACTTAATGGAATGACTTACTTGGTTGTATCAAAGTCTTCAGTCGTGTTCCAGCCGCCATGGCAACGCTCTCTTTGTCACTTGCACTGTACACCATTGCCATGAAGTCCCCAGAATGGGTGACTCTCTGCGCATTAAGAGGTAGCTGGAAGACAGTCCCTGCGTACGTAGTTCCTGGAATTTCAGTCCACTGCACAGGAGAACTAAGAGAACGGCGCTTTATGGAGCCAGACAGACCAGAACTTAGAGATGCCAAAGTCTGGCCATCGATTTTTATGTTGTCCTTATCTGCATTTCCCGA